ATTTAAATATAAAATATATTCATATAAAATAAAAATATATAAAATAAAATAAATTATTTAAAATAATTTATAATTATTTTATTTTGGGTATATTTAATACACCCAAAAGTTTTATTATTTCAATATGGTATCTATATAAAACAAGTAATCAAATGAGATATCTTTACATTCTTTATTCATGTCTTCAAAATCTATTGTGCATAATAAAAGTTAAAATAAAAACAATCCAATGTATATTTTATACTTATAGCATATGTCAATTCAGACCAGGTGCATTTCAGGTACTTAACAGCTACATGTGGCTGTGGCTATCATACTGGGCAGTACAGGTGCAGGCTCATTTAAACAATGTCCATGCCACACACATGGGACTTCCTTTAAAAAAACTGAAGACTTCACAGTTATCAGAGTTATTTTTTCCAACACTGTAAACCTTTAATCCTGAGAAATGTGACGGTTTGGGGGTAAGTTATAGGGCCTTCACACTTAAAACAGGCTTTTTAAAATTTATGTGAAGTACTGTCCACACCACATAAACTATGCTTTAGGACCCTCCCTGAGAGGTTCTCATCTCCCACACACCCAAGCAGTTTTAACCATGGAGGCTATTAACTACAGGCCTTTTCTCCCTTCTCTATCCTCTAGTTGATGAGTTTATCTATTCTAGCCCCACCCCATCTAAGTCTTACACATGTTCAAAGTCCAGTTCAAAACTGCACTACTTCCATGAAGCCTTCCAGGACTCCCTCTAATCAGAAATTATCTTCCCAATCTCTAGGCACTGACCACACTTGCACTCAACTGTCAGTTCTGAAGGGAGGGCATCGCAATAAATTTTAAAATCATCCTTAGCATCCTAGCACTTATGAGAGAATATTACTAATCACATGAAAGTTAATGATACAAGTTCCATTTTATTTTAGTGCCCAAAGACACAACAACAACAAAAAACTCTTACCTTTGGTGGAGAACTCTGTATAACCAGATCAACCTCAGGGATGTCTAACCCACGTGCAGCAACATTGGTTGCAACCAATACTCCAAAATCACCATTTCTAAAACCTTTCAGTGTGATTTCCCTTTGCTTCTGTGGAATATCTCCATGTAATGACTGGGCATCCTGCCAAAGAAACAAACTGGTCTAAGAATACCAGATCCAACATTATAGGTACTTTTTACCTGTAAAAGACATTCATATTTTGGTGATACTTCTGTTGAAAATAATATAAAGGAGAAAACATGCGCTGCTTTACATGGACAAACCTCAAGACTATTTCCAATCCTTGGTCATTAAATCAACCGTACCGAATTACATATACAAGGTAAAAACACCAGATAAGAGTGATCAAATCTACATTGTTGGTATAATCTTGGGGGTTTGAACCACCTTTTTCTCATCTCTGAGATGAGAATGACAGATTAGGTGAGCTCTTACATGTATACTCTATTAATTAAAAGATGCCTCCTTAAAAGAAAGGGTGAGGAAGGACCAACCTGCTTTATGGACACATTCTGTGACAGCTCCTGGGCTTCTTTCTTTGTTTCACAGAAGATGATAGTACGCCCATGAAAACCACTATACACTCGGATCACATCCCCAATAACTGCTGCTCTTTGAGTCCAGTGGCACTTGATAGCCAGATGCTTATAAGAGAGTGAAAAAAAAGATCAAATTAGTAAAACCTAGCTGGAACCTGAAACCACCTGCTCAACACTAATGGTACTAGAAGCAACTGTTTAAGCCTGACTAGAGCAGATGATACCATTATCATTTGGAGAAAAAAACTAAATCATTAAAGCAGAGAGCCTTTCCCCTTTCTCCAAAGAGCATCTAGCTTCTTTATCTATTTTCTGACCTCATCAGGAAAATGTAGGAAAAGAAATACCATTCACATTCCTACAGGAGACCAAATAACTGACAAAAGAAAAGTTTCTGTATGTTTTGTCCTCTCATCCACTTAAAAAATGCAATCAGTAGTAGTCAGTTACTGTACATGTCTATTCCTTGGGTGAAACGATTCACCTAGGTACAGGACCCTAAGATGAAAAACAGCTTCGACACGAGCACTAGATTTTTCTGCTGCCCTCTAGAGTTTAAATTCTAGCTGTAATTTCTTATTGTTTAGCTCATTCAGATTAGGTTCCAAAAAACTTCTGAAATCAGACTGCCAGATGATGAAATTTGGAAAACACAAATAACACATACAACTCAGAAAGAAATTTGTCTTTACTTAGCTTTTCACATGGATTTATTATTTATCTGGAAAAAGAGTTTGTAACTTGTCAGACTTAAAACAATCACGGGGAAAAAAATGATATACAATTTATTACTAATTCCAGAAACTAAGTGAATCATTTACCTCCACAGTTATTGCCGTTTTCTGAGTCTTTTTACCAATTAAGTCCACCTGTTCATATGTAGACTTCATGTACTTCTTAGCAACATTAAAAACCCAATGAGGACAAGTTGCAGAAAAAAGCAATGTTTGGGGATTATCTTCTGAATCTTTGGAGGAAAAAAGTCAGTATGAATAACCCAAACAAGCCTACATAGTATTCCGCCTCACTCAATTCTTTTAGGGTCCATTAACATTCCACAGCAACCACCAGGCCGATCCAGGCATTGAGAACACAAAAATGAAAGACACAGAGATTCCCAAAAGGCAAAGAAATGCTACCTAAATAATTTATGTAAAGGATCCTTGAAACAGCAAAAGCACTTTAAACTTATTTTGCTTTCTGACCAGTGGCCTTTATGAACCACAAGGGAAACTTGTCCGTTATAACAAGACCTACCAACTAGAAAACACCAATTCATTGCATTTTCATACATTTCGAGTGGCAGTATAAGCTGGTTGAAGTAATTTCTAGAAGTAATTTCGCTTCTGAAAATCTATCCTAAGGAACTAATTCTAAATATTGTGGTGTGAAAGGAAGCTACCTGCACAAAAATGTCTGTATGCAGAATTATTTATTAAAATTAAAACAGGTAGATGAAATTAAATCATGGTACAACCACTTCATGGACTATTATGCCAAATTGTTATATGTACAGTATGGTTATAATTAAAACACATACACACACAAATAGCACAAAGTCAGGAAGAAACATACCAAAAGCAAAGCATACCACACTGGTAAAAATGAAATTTTCCCCTTTTACTTTCTCAAATTTCCCATTGTAACTATGTGATAAATTATAATTTTTTTTAAAAAATTTAAGTTTTCCTGAATAAAATAAGTCACCTCCAATTTCCCAAGCCTTCATTTAACCCTTAGAAGACTACTTAATCACTACGCTTCCTCTGCTCTCCCTTTTATTGGTTCCTTGAGCTTGGAGTTTACCTTTCTTGTATGCCACACTTAAAATCTCTTCCACTTGATCAGCAAACCCCATATCCAACATCTGGTCAACTTCATCCAGGACAACATGTTTAAGTTTGGTGAGATCCAGCTTGCCATTCTGCAGATGGTCTTTGATACGGCCTGGTGTCCCAACCAAGATGTCAATCCCATTCCGCATGCGTTCGACTAGAAAAAACATCAATGATAAGATACACTGGGTGTTTAAGTCCTTTTATTAGTCTGGAGTATCAGCTACATATATTTTTATTCTAAAATATTTATATTTATTAAGTACAAGGTAATATGCTAAGTATATTAAGTATTTATGAAGATAAAGATACTCAAAGCACTCCTTAATCTAGTGGAAAAAACACGTATGAAGTGATAGTCCATTGTGTTATGTGACATTACAGAAAAATGCGCCAGTGGGGGATGGCAGGACCAGGAAAGAAATGGCTTCTTTGGTTGGTGGAAAAGTGTCAAGATTTCACAAAGTGAGAATAAGAATCTTAAACAAATAGGAACTTTCTATAAGGTAAGGTTTAGGGAGAAGGAAACAAGATAGAAGGGCAAATATAATCATAAGCCTTGTGTGCCAAGGCTAAGAATTTTTTAATGCCTTGAATCTTTTCCTGAATTATGTATCTGCTCTACGTAATAGAGCTTCAAGGTCTTGAACTGGGAACTAATGGAATACTACAGCAGAGGCTGCAACATTTAGCCCTTGGGCCCAGAGAAAAGAAAGCCTGCCTGTAGTAAGAAAGAAACAAGAATGCAAGAGGAGGCAGAGACCCAAGGTCCTTGACAGATAAAAAGAGTAACCTGAATTCTGACTTTCTAGTCGAATGGCCCAAATGGACTCTGTCCTCTTGGGTTCAGTAAGATATCTTTACAGTCTTTAGATGAACACAGATAAGACAAATGTCCTAAGAATGGTACGTAGGATCTAACACATCATCAAGCAGGACCATGTTCTTGACCATCTTTAAATAATAATAACAAAAGAAAACACCAGAGAACTAGACCAGGTAAAGCTGGATATCAAGGTCAGAAGATATCCAACCAGGACATCCAACAATGAATGGTAATTTCCTTCCTTCACTTTTGGATTTACTTACTTTGACCTCCATAGGGAGTTCCACCATAAAAACAAGCCACTGCCAATTTTTTTGTGATGTCGCTGAAATCTTTGCTTACTTGATTTGCTAACTCCCTTGTAGGTGCAAGAACCAGTACCTGAAAAGGAAAAACTAATAATTAAATTCAAAGCATTACATGATTCAACTCACCCTAACAAGCATTATCAAAATATCTATTATGTGCTTTGCAATGTGCTGTGTGTGTGGAAGGATCATAAATAAAATATGGTTCCTGACAAACCTACTCAGAAGAAAAGCTTGTGATCCTACTAATCAAAAGAAAAGTTATGTGCCCAAATGTAGGTGCTCTAGGAGAGCTGCACAGAGCAGGCTGAAGGAACTGGGAAAGTTTCCTGGAACTGCTAGTACTTAAAGAATAGCATTCCAGGAAAGGAACAACTTGAGCAAGGAATACTATTACTGATATTAACATCAGCTAATATCAGAGCTTTTACTGTCTCAGGCTCTACTAAATGCTTAATATGCATTATTCTCATTTAATTCTTACAAGTTATTCACCTACAATACCTACAATTGTATCATACAATTGCACTATAATACCAAAAAACAAAACAAAACAAAAAAACAATTGCATTGTAACACCTACAATAATAAAATAGATGTCTAAAACCAGAAGACTAGGAAGACTAAGAAGAAGAGCCTGAATACAAATTCAGGCAGTCGGGCTCTAAAACCTATGGTACGAACCTCTACACCACAGTGAATTTGAAGCAAAATGGAAGTCAGAGTAGTAAGGCAGGGCCAACATGGTGAGGGGCTTTAAATCCTTGAGCAGTCTCAGTTTGATCCAATAAGACATACAACACAAAACCAGCAGGGTAACAGCAAGATGCAAATATGAGTTAAGAACAATGACCTAATACATTCATCCTACAGATATTTACTAAATATCTACTATGTGCCGGGTGGTATTCTAGGTGCTACAATAATTCATTTGTTTACTACTGTATTTGTTAATAGCAGTAAACAAATAAATAAATGAGGAGGGAGAATGGACATGGAAGGCCAGTAAACAAGTGAGGTGGGGCCAGAAATACAGGTGCAAGAACCCCCGGCCAAGGTGATAACACAGGCATTTCAGTGATGTAGGGGGCTTGGCCTCTTCGCCTGAGTGCCCCTCCTATTCATGCATCTCTATTAAAAATGCTTTCTCAATCTTAAGCAAATATGATCAGACACTTGACCAAATCTGCGAGCCCCAAGAACATCTAATAGTTTGAAAAGAATATGATGAGCATTAATAATACAGGTGATCACAACTATAGGACAGATTACAATACTTAAATATATAGGATTTATGGCCGATACTGTTAAAAGAATTACCCTGGTTAAACAATGTCAGCTATTACTTAAAAGAAAAAAAAGAAAAAAACTACCAGGGTCTACCTGCAGATAAAGATGTGCTGTAAATACCCAAAAAAGGCTTTAACTTAAAGAAAACCCAATAAAAAATAGGGTTCGTAAACATGCCCAAGAAATGTTTTTGCCCATGGGCATTTGGAATCCCTGAGGTCCCTGTTAAAGCTAGTTACCTGTCTATGTCCATGCCACCCTGAACAAGCCCGATCCCATCTGATCTCGGAAGCTAAGCAGGGTCGGGCCTGTTTAGTAATTGGATGAGAGACCACCTAGGAAGACCAGTGCTATAGGCGTAAAAAATTTAAAAAATAAGGGGTTGTAAGCTGACAAGGTCCTTGCAATCTGTGAAGTCAATCAAGGGTTGCCTCCCCAAATAAATAAACAAACAAATAAATAAAAATAAAGCTAGTTACCTGAGGGGCACGGCCTCTCTTTCGGTCTTGCAGTTCTCCCAGAAGTTTCTCAATCAAAGGGATGGCAAAGGAGAAAGTCTTCCCAGTTCCTGTCCGTGCCTGTGCAATTAAATCTTTTCCACTATAGACATGGTGAAATGTCTTTGCTTGTATAGGAAACAGGAAGGTCACCCCACGGGCTGTAAACAAATTGACCATTATCTGACATTGCAGTTCTTAAAATACCAGCCATACTGTAGGACCCATGGTTCTGATCCTACAGAATTAAGGAGTTCTACCTTCTGATAGAATTCAACATCTACAAAGTCACGTTCAATTATATTCTGGCAGTGAAAAATCTGCTTGACTGAAAAATTCAATAAACTTCAAAGCACTGAATTATTTATTATTTTAAGAGATTAAGTCACTTGTCATGAAATCTTATCCATAGGTCAGCATAAGCCTGAAAATCAAGTGCTTTGCAGTCTAGACTGTGCCATACTTGTTTAGAAAACACCTAAGTTGAGCATTTGTGACTACCTAGCTCATTCACAGGCACACTGCTAACATGAGATCTAAGCCAAAATGGTATCATTGACCTAGAGATGGCTCAAGAAGTAGAAGAGGATAAAAAAGAAAATACTAATGACATCAACTATTTAACTCCAGCAGCACTATCAATCAATATACTTCTGAATATACATATTGTATTGAATAAATTTTAATCACCTGTTTAAGAGGCAACAAAGACCACCGCTATAGTCCTATACTTAATATATAGAACTACTTCAATTATTTGGTCACATGTATTGTGACCAGTAAAAACATGTCCTAGTTCATCTCAACAAAACAGTGGAGTGCTTCCAAACAATATGTTCTAAATTATACAATATTTCCAAGAATATTACCTTTGAGAAGTTTAATAGTCCCTTCAGATATGGGAAAATTGGAGAAAGCGCCTTCTTTTTGTTCCACAGGTATTTCCTATCAAGTAAAGCGCCACAAAAAGAAGTCAGTTAACTTTACTCCTGCAGGTTAATAGAGAGAGCCTTTTGAGAAACAGAAGAACCTATTTTAAAACATCTCTTCTCAATCAACCAAAAAGACACAAGTACCTTGTGGTAGGTAAATCAAGATGTGAAAAGGAAATATATCGTAATAAGCCATAAAACCTTAACAAAAGAAAAATCTGTAGCAAAAATATATTGCACATATAGTATGTGTGGCAGACTCAGTCTCAGCCCTTTCCCACAGCAACTTCTCATATACGTTCATAGAAAATAAGAACATTTATGACAGTGGTCACAGTGGCATTATCGATAAAAAATCTGAGTGCCCAACAGGAATACTTATGTGGATTTCTAAACATTTACATGATGGTTTATGTAACCATTAAAAAGATTAATATTTTTATTTAATACATATAACATTAAATATTTAATGAAAGTGAGGGAAATACATACATAAAAATGGAAAACGCAGAAAACAAGATTGCATATATAGTACAATCCTAGTCTGATTAAATAAAAGAGGTTCGTATATAAAAACTACTGTTAAGAAAATAAAATTCAACAGGTTACTTCAATACCTGAAGTGTTTAACATTTACTGAATTACTGAATGCAGAAATTCTAAGGAGCTTTTTGATAAATTTCCATATTTCCTAAATTTTCTAGATCACATTAGTTTTTAAAAGTTGATCACGACCTACATCAAACACAAAATTATTTATTAGAATTAGGATTTTTCTTTGATGTTTCTGAACAGTAACAGAATTATCTTCCAAATGCACAGACCTTTAATCGTCTGGTTCAACTTAAGTTAGTTAATGGCCAAAGCAAAGAGATTTATGCAATCTAGCAAATAGATAACTTTTCAGTAGTTCCATTTAATCCTGATTTATTTGGTGAAACCTCCCAGGAGAGAAGCTAAGGCCTATAAGCATAACTATATCCCCCTTGTTGATTTCTCACTTTCAAATAAGCTGAGCAAGCGTGTGGAGAGATTTTTACCATATTTAAACAAATCTATTTACTTGCAAAGGAGGCATTCTGAGGGGGCCGGCCCTTCCATTATTAAATAATATGTAGCAATTAACTACTTATTTATCTGAAACAACAGAAGATACATTCCACATATTTAAATGCAACTTTACCTGCTCTAACTCACTGTTACTTTCTTCACTGGCAATTTCGTTGGAGTTAGAGTCAGGTCCAGAATGAGAGAATCCATTCTTCAGTTTGGGGCTCTTCTCTCCAATTTCTCCATTCATTTCCTTTTCTTTCTTCATCTTTTTGGGTTTAGGAGCACCTATTTCTTCTTCAGAAGGCTCCTCATTTTTTACTGCTTTTTTGGTTTTAGGAGAAACAACTTTCTTTTCAATGGGCTCCTTTGGTTTTTTTACACTTTTGGTTTTAGGAGAAATAATGTCATTTTGAGATGTCTCCTCTTTCTTTTTTGACTTTTTGGATGTAGGAGAATTCACGTCAACTTCAGAAGGTTCTGCTTTCTTTTTAACTTTTTTAGCTTTGGGGGAAACAACTTCTTGCTTTTCTTCTGCTGCCTCTTCAGTCTTACCAGATTTTGGCTTCTCTTTTTTAACTTTCTAAATAATCAAAGAAAATATAAACACTGAACAAAGCATCTGATATATTTGTATAACAGATTAATTCTAGATTATTGCAAGATCATATAACCATGAAGAACACAATTTAGGGGTATTTTCCAACATCTGTACTTTCACCTTGCAATGAGGCAAAAATCAACAATACGCCTTTTAGTATTATGTTTTAGCTATATGGAGATAAATATACATGAATAATTTCATTAGCTTGGACGTGAATGTCTCTTGGTAACTATTCAATGCATGTCAAACAAGTTTTAAAATCAAAATTTCACAAGGGATTTGGAGTGGTTCATGGGATGCTCCAACAGTTCTAAACGAAATACACAACAGCAAGTGATCAAATACAGTTTAATTATGATAGAGTAAAAAGGCCACATACGTCCATGGATGGATGATTTTAAAGCAGACTCTTTGCTAGAATTTCTGTACAGGTAAAACAAGGATTCGTAACATCTACCTTGCCTATCTCACAAAGGCAGATGAATGTACAGAGACATTTTATGAACCAAAAGCTATAAAAATCCATAATCTATCACCCTATGTATATAAAAAAGAGGTTCTTAAGAAAAAAAAAGTGCACAAGTTACAAGGAAATGGAATGAGTGAAACCTCAAAACCAAACCAGATTATGGCTCCTACTTGAAATGTCTGACCCAGTCCAACTTTTCATGTTATTGAAAACTTAATTACACTATTACATGGAGCTGAAATCTATCTCCCTAAAACTTCAAGCCTGGCTTCTGCTCTCAAAACATGGAGTAGGGGAGGGGTAATCTATCCCACATCACACGCGCGCGCGCGCGCGCGCACACACACACACACACACCTTCCCACCCCCCCAGCCTCCCAGACTTCAGTTCTTCCATCCCCTGGTTTCACCAGAAGGGGTGGCTTTCCCAACCCAGTGGTCTCTTTTGGAACATAAGGGAGTTTGGTCATGACCTCCTAATCTGAGTATCCTCAATTGAACACTGTTTACTGCTGAAGAGCAGATAAAGCAGGACCACTTTCTCTCCACTTGCAAAGACAAGTTTGTGCTCCCTTAGCTTCCTAAAACACCAGAACATTACTGTTGTACAAGCTTCCCATAAAAAAGACAATTCTATATATACAACACAAGTTCAGGGACAATCTGTGTTTTCACTTTATCTCAGAACAGACTCAGTCACAGTTAAATCGCTATCTAAAGAAGCAAAAGCAAGAGGGCAGACAGCTATAAAGGTAACTTAAGACTATTGCGATGTTGGCCTATCATCTCAAAAATATGGTGTACAGTTAGCAAAACACAGCTTTACATTTCCACGGGTAATCTGGTCAATAAACCTTAAGAGGTTTATTCATCTTCTAAGGGTTGCTTGCCGGAAAACAAACTGTACTTCCCTTAACATGATAAAGAGAATGTCACTGCTGACACGGCCCACGTGTACAGGTGAGTTAAGTCTCCCTAGTCTAGTCTAAAAGCGTTAGTCCCGACCTTGACTTACAACTCCCTCCGCGCGCTCACTCGCAAGAGTTAGGTCTGAGCCTGAGCCAAAACGTGGGGCCTAATCGCGGACGTCCAACTCTGCACGCCCGGTCGTGGGCGCCCAGACTCGGGTACCACGTGAGACGCCGGGCCCTCCAGTTCCGATCTGCCCGAGCTCCCGGAGCGCGCCGACGCGCTCACAGCCCACGGAGAACACCACTCCTGGACGCCCCCTGACCGAGACTCACGCGGGTCTCCGGACGAGCCGGGTCAGCGCCGCGCCCCACGCGCTCCCTGCCGGGGCACCCCTTCTCTCCGGTTCCCCGCTGCCCCGCTCCTCTCAGCGACCCGGCTTCTGGTCTTGCCTTGCCCTAGCCCCCTCGGCCCTTGGTGGCACCTTCTCTTTTCGCGATATCTCCACTTTTCCCATGGCGGTGTCTGATTCCAAATTCACGTCACTGAGGAGTTTCCCCGGCATCATTCAGCACAAGCTGTGTAAGGCGACCGATCTCGTCCACCGCGTGGAGAGGAAGAGACCGGCCTACCCTTTGGCCCACCCAGCTTTCGTCACATCCTGTAGCAAAGCCCTTTCCCCCCGGAAGCAGAAAGCCCCAGCGAAGCCAAGCCCCAGGTGGTAGTCCCTAAGCAGCGGCTGCTGATACTGCCCGGGCAGTCAATTGACTGCCTACTGCGCCTGAACTAAAAGGTACCTGCAGAATGCTAGAAATGGAAGGAACCACAAAGGTTGGCTTTGTGTTCTCGTTTAAACACTAGTCAGATTCTCGCTAGCCCTGCCGGATAAATACAGACTTGTAGTATGCTTTTGAGTGGCGCCTCTTCAATACTTTAGATCGCTCCAGTTATGGATCATTTTGAAGACACAGAAAGGAAGCGCCCAGATTCACAAGCCTGGTTTAGAACTAAAATTCAGTAGGGTCTGGTTATTCATTCATGCACTTAACAAACATCCTCTAAGCATTCACCGTATGTGAGATACAGGGCTAGGATTCTGTGACAGACAATATACAAGCCTTGTCTTCAAGCTTTATTGACTGGTGAGAAATAGACGAATGTCACTTGTTATGAAGGCAAATAGAGGCACTTTACGGGCCCTGGGACCAAAAGGGGTCCCTAAACTACATAGATCTCTCTTAGAAAATACAGGGGCTCTTAGTCTTGCATAATTTGGACAATATACTAATTCAAGCGGTTGAGATGAAGTGGTCCATTGAACGATCTATGATGTTGCTAAACTTATTCTGAAGAACTAGTGGTCCAAAGAATTAAGAGCCAATTCATCATAAAATCGTTTTTAAAAATGGGTTGAAATCATGCCTGGCTTTGAAAACCTGCCCTATTTGCTCTGTGATTTTGGACACCTTACTTAGTCTGAACCTGAGTTTCTCTTGCATGAAATGGGCTTAACAAAACTTGCTTCATCGGCTGAGAAAATTAAGATAATGAATGAAAAGGGTTTAGCAGTGCCTGGCACATGGAGCACAATAAATGAATTATTAAAACTCACAGGTGTGTCAAGTGTTTAAAAAAAAATTCAAAGTGCGATCATTTTATGACAAAGGAAAATGCTGGAAGTTTTATTTCTGTATTCCATAAGATTAGTTTTTACTGCATTTTTAATGACAGTTTAAAGGAAAACTTTCGTGTTTCACAATTATTTGATGTTTGTCTCAATTTTTAATTTTATTTTTTTAGGTCAGGCAACCCTTGGTTAACCTCACAGATTGCAAGGAACATTGTCAGCTTACAATCCCTTATTTATTTTATTTTATTTTTTTTTTATGCCTACAGCACCTGGTCTTCCTAGGTGGTCTCCCATCCAAGTACTAACCAGGTCTGACCCTGCTTAGCTTCCAAGATCAGACGGGATCAGGCTTGTTCAGGGTAGTATGGCCATAGACAGTCTCAATTTTTTAACAGATAAATTTATGTAAATATACAACGCTTTAACTTGTACTCTATAATATCCTTGAGCTGGTAGCCTTGATTTATCCATCTGTGTATCCTTAAGATTTCAGACAGTGCCAGGCACACAGTAAGTAGCCTATCACTTAATGTTGACTGATCATTTAAATGGCATGTGGGGTGGGGCATGGGAGAAGGAACTCGTTGAAATAAATTTTAGCTATGTGCCCAGGCAGGCAAGCAATTCGATCATCCTGGTGTGATAGAAGAGGGAGCAAATATGAGTGCAGTCAACCAACTGACTAAAAATGCTACACATCTGGGATTTCAGCATTGTACTGCAGACTTTGGAGTATATAAGTACCAGTCCCTGCCTCAAGTTGATAAACCACAAAACTGCATGATACTGCTGTAAACAGTACAAGCGCATTTTTTATTACCAACAGATGTTGAGTAAGCCCAGAATACCACTAAATGGAAAATTGTGTCAAAGCCTATAAAGTTCTTCTGTGACATACCTACACATAGGCGCAAAGCCAAAATTCTAAGAGGAAACATGCAAAAAGCCTTTTTTGGCTCAGAGGTAGCCGGATTACTGTATTGAATCTAGTCATCAGTCTAAAATAAGTAGAAGAAATGAGTAATATATATTCGATAGGAAATGTGAAGCTCTGCTTGAATAGTGACTGTGCCAGACTAGTTTCCTCTGATGTACATATGTAATGTTTTCAAAAAATTGGGAGAATTCGTTTCACACACAGTGAATTCAAAAGTTTACACAACAAAGTGTTTGCAGTAATTATCTCTGAGTGATATAATTATGGGTGGTTTTATTCTATTTGCTTCTCTATTTCTTTTAAATTTTCAACAATGGACATATACTACTAATATGAAAAAGTAATGATTTTAAAAATTATTACTAAGCACTACCCCAAAATATATAAAACAGTGCGAGAGGAGACTCTCAGACATTCACACCTAAATGTGAATTTGTTAAGTGTCTAATGCTGAAGGAAACAAAATATATTATTTACAAATTCAAAAACTGATGATCAGGACATCTGAAACCAATATAAAATACTATCGACTGTAATTGGAAAAAAAAAAAACCCTGAAGATCAGGGCAATTGATTCAAGTCAAACAGCTGTTAAGTGACCCATACTAGGGCACAGAGTACCAAACTCGAAGCTCTGAATAGCCAAAAGGTGGTGCCATGAAGATGCTGGGCTCTATGAGGAAGAAACAGAGTAAAGGCGAGTGGCTGAATGCCACCCAAAGCTGAGAATTTGGTGAGGAATTTGCCCTTCCTCTTCTTCCAGAAGATATGGAAGGCTAGTCTTTAATCTTGTTAGTATCTGCCCCACTTTCCTTCTGAACAGGGTTGCCAGCTTTTAGCAACTGGACTCCTTAAATCCATCTCCATCCTGCTAGTATTTACCTACATGCTTATCTTTTCCACTCTTTTCTCTGAAACACTTCAGTGGCTGTCCAATGTCTGTGAAGCCTTCCAAGATATGACTCTTGCTGTGTTTTCACCACTGCTTTCCTCACAGAGATCTACTTAGTTTATTATACTTAGACCTTGTTGTTTCATTAAACCTTTGCCTGGATGCCCATTCCCATTTCCCTGTTTCTTTTTCCTGACTTAATTCATGTGCAATCATTGTGTCCAAAATCTTTCTGTGAACCCTGGGATGGGCTATGTTTTAGAAAACATTTTAAAAGATCACATTGAGGAACATTCTTAACACATAGTGAAAAGAGACAATAAAAGGAGTTTTTTTTTATTCAAAGGTATAACTGCATAAGTAGTTTTGTTTACAACCATTCTTGTGAAATACTTTTTAAAAAAATACGACCAACTTCTTTGCAAATAGCAGACACATACCTCAACTATCATGACCTAATTTTAGGTGGATAATGTACATGATTAGGCAGAAATATGCAAGCTCACACTGGTAGATTAATTATCAAATTCTCAGTCAAAACTCCGTTTGTGGCCCCCGCTTCTTGATCGATTTCTATTCCCACTTCGTCTTCTACCATCTTGTCGACTTCCTGATCGACTCCCCTGTCGACACTGTCTACCTGACCGGCCACCAGAACGACCACCTGACCGGCCTGACCGGCCTGACCGGCCACTTGACCAGCCACTCCTCTGCCTGGAATTAGAGGATGTGTTTCCATCATAATATTCTTCAATTTCAGGTAATTTGGCTGGCACTGAGAGTATCCAGTCTGAATCATGCCACTCTGCCTGTCAGGAGAAGTTATAGGATTAATATAAATGCAAAATAGAAACTATAAGCAAGCACATGAGTACAGTAGACTCTTTTTTTATATCTACTATCCATTAGCTAAAGGCCATCGATGCATTAAATTCGAAGTATCTGGAACAAAATTGAAAACCAGAAAAAAAAAACGATATTCAAAGTACATTCACTAAAGTTCCTAAGTTTTCGTCTCAGGAGAAACTCTCAGGCCCATTTTGAAACTCCAAATTCATACACAGTTTACACATTCTAAAAGAGAGCACTGGTTTCTCTGCACAAAACAAATTCACCACTAATAAGTAGTACACTGCTTTCAGCAGGTATACTGACAGAAGCAAGAACTGCGAGCTGATGATGGAGATTAAAAAACCTGTCAACACCAGCGTTGGAAACATTTGCTATCGGGGTAAACAACTCTACATACACAAAATCAGTGGCTCATAAGAGCATCACTATGTCGTATCCTTCTATATTAACTGTTCTTCATTGCGATCATGACTTGCCAAGGAAAATTAATGTTAAAATATCTTGGTTATAAGAGTAAGCAGAGACAAACACCCAAACATACCACTGGTGGCAATATATAACCGAAATCTTAAAAATATGCAAACCTTTTGGCCAAGCAGTCATCTTTAAAAAATTCATCTTAAAGAGATAAACATGGCAATGCATAAAGACTTATTAGGTATACCAAATTAAGGGCTGGCCTGTTTATAACAGTATATTATTGGAAATAATCTAAAATGTCAGAAAATAGAACGTTGATTAAGAAAAGTTAGCCACCCATATGGCCAAATACTAAGGAACCATTAAAAATAAGTAACTGTAAAAAAAAAAAAAAAAAGGAACTGTGTAGTTAACACAGAAATGTATTCACAATATAGTCTGAACTTTTAAAAAGACTTAAGAAACAGAATAATCTCCTTCTTGTTTCAAATTATGTATATAAATATGCACAGGAATGCAACAAATTCTATAATGTAGGAACCCAGTGGACAATCTCGTTCTTCAGCAGGTAAAATACAAGGAAAAATTTTAAAAAGAGATGGAGGGAGAACCTATAGATTAAGAAACATCAAATTACAATATGAACCTTATGGACCTTATATTAAATATCTAGAAAAAATAATAAAAAAATAAAAATAAAAATATTTAGGAGACAATAGGGGAAATTTAAACACAAGTTGGATAATATAGAATTATTATTTTGGGGAGTTAGTTATGATATTATGATTATGTTTTTAATAAGTATCCTTACTATTTATAGAAATATTTATGGTTAAAATGATAGCATGCCTAGAATTTGCTTCAAAAGTGTAATACAGGAGAGTAGGGAAGTGGATGGAAGTATACATGAAACAAAATTGGTCATGAGTTGATAATTGCTGAAGCTAAGTGATTGATACATGAGGATTTAGTATGCAATTCTATTTTTTATGTTTGAAATTGTTTATAATAGAAAATGTTTTAAATTATGATTGGATAGATTGGATATTTTATATTAAGGAATTGTTAATTGACTTAGGCATGATAATGATATTGTGCTTACGATTTTTTAAATATCTATCTTTTAGAGAAACATACTCAATTATTTAACAGATAAAAATTTTTAAATACCTGTAAACTTTCTGACTCAGTTGTGGGAACATCAAAGCAAACACCCTAAAAGCAAAATGAAAACATTTTTATTTAGATACACGAGTTAATTTTTTACTAATACTCTAATACTTGTTGGTAATCTTATATTAGCTATAAAAAGAAAAGATTAGCTGTGTCCCAGACTATACCTAATAGAATCAGAACAGGTAATATATAACAACCCATGACACAGAGTGGCTGCTTACTGTGTTTTCTAAATCTGAAAAGTAACTAAACACAGTATTTAATAAGAATATACTACTACACTAAGGATCTAGAGCATTCCTTAGAAAAATTTTTGTAGATACTATAATGTTGTACTATGTTCCTTGTACAATGATTCATCTAATAAATTCCTTTAAAAATTTAGTGCCAGAAAGTTTCTCTCCTGAAGAGCTGCAGTGTTTACCAGATAAGAGACTGATGTAACCCAAGATGTTTCCTCTTTGGTCTTGGTTCCAAAAAGTTGAAAGTTAATTTTGTAACTCAAGTGTACCAACTAGCTTAGCTAAAGGATCTTGTTATATTTTCCCTCCCCTCCACATTTGTTCTGAATGTGTGTATTTTTCTCATACTTGCCACAAATCTTTTTTGAAGGTAATATTAAACTTTGAGAAAATTATTTCCAATAAATAATTAATTTAATAAATTATAGGCTAAAATTAACCTCAATAGTCAAGTTAGGTGAATAAATATAACATCTTTTCTCAAAACCATTAAAAGAAATCAGTCACTAATATTACAGATGGCTTTAACTTTGCTATTTAATAAATGTATTAAAATACTTAATTCACTTCATTCTCCTCATTAACAACCAATAGCAGGCCACTCAAAAACCATTATTGTATATTCCCTAAATAATAGAATTGTTTAACTGTTGCAATCATAAGTTACTTAGAGAATAAACACACACAACCACACATGATAAGTCTATTAGGGCAGAAATTTAGATAACTTGGGTGTTACTCAAACTAAGCAGAATACTTATAGCTTTCTAGAGGAATGAGTTGTTAATATAACTCCTCCAAATTTTACAACTGGAAACCAACTAACATACAGAGAAAATAATATTATTCATCTCATTAGGCTTCAAAAAAATAAAGGAACAAAACCTGCTAGTCTTTATAAACATTTATAGTAGTTGATTAAAAAACTTTTTACTTATCTAGAAAAGCCTACCATATTTCCTTTAAGGAGGAACATTCTGGTAATTTGGGACACAGCATTACTATTCAGCTTTCTGTTAAGTTCTTTCCAAGCACAGCTGACATCCTGTATTTCTTCTGGGCTTTCCAGAGTCATGGTTACAAACCCCTTAAGGAATAAAAGTCACATTATTCTTGAAAAAAAAGCAGCAAGACAATGAAGTTCGAATTCTATAGCCCTTCATGACTTAACGGTATACTTATGGGCCAACAGTATGACTGCTAAAAAACATAACTTCTTAGAAACTATATTAATAGAGGACTTATAGATCATTGAAAGTACCATTCTTATATGTATTGCTATAAAGACTATATTTAATTCTAACCATCAAGCTTTAAGAGATAATTAAACTAGAGCATCAGAGAAAAGATAAGGTAGTGAAGAATTAAGGAAGTCAATTCTGAATGAGTCCAAGTTAGCTTGGAGTGGAAAAACAAGAGGACATAAACCTCTCTAAACTTTTAAGTGACTATTATATAAGCAAAAATTACTTGTTCTGTAAACTTTACTGGACAACAAAAAGATCAAAGAAGCCATATGGAGGTATTCATCTAACAAATTTATTGAATGTCCCCTATGTATGCACCAGAGACTCTACTAGGTGCTAGAGATTCAGCAATTAAATAGTCCTTCCTCTCATGGAGATTACATTCTAGTGGGGTGGCGGGGGGGGAAGTGGGGTAATCAGTAAACAAATAAGCAAACATAGAATGTCAGATAGTAACAAGCATCATGAAGAAGAATAAAGCAGAGCAAGAGAATAGAGAGTAATGAGAGGAGTAAGCTATATTAAACAGGGTGAAGGAGAAAGACCTCTCTGATAAGGTTATTATTTGGAGAAAGACCCAAATGAAGTGAAGGAAGAAGCTATGCGGTTATTGAAAAGGAAGAACATTTGGAATAGTGCAAGTAAGAACAATGGCCTTGTGCAGCAGTAAGTTTACGTCTGAGTAACAGCAAGTAGGGTACCTGAAACAAGGGGAGAGTGATGAGGGATAAGGAGATGAGGACAAAAAGGTAGCATGGGGAAGGCCCTGTAGCAGACTCATGGTAAACACTTGGGAGTTTGCTTTAATCCATAAAAGAAATGTCAAACCACTAACACTCTATTTCTAAGGTATTTTAATCAGAGGTTTAGATGACCCATCTGCCAAAAAGGGATTCTTTTGTTAGTTAAGGACTGAGATTAAATGACCTCCTCAGTACTTCTTAGCTCTAAAAGTCTCAGTATTTTCTTAAGAAGTGGATTTTTAGGGATAGGATATTTGCTCAGTGCTGAAGTATCACCCCACAGACTACTTACTAATTATAGAGAGTAAACTATACCTTTATATTGGGAATATATGGCAGTTTCCATCTTAAGCAATCAAACCAAGCATTTCTAGTACTAGAACAATCTGACAGTATATGCCTCCCGATGTGATGCAGTATGAAGTATACACTATCACTAAAATGTAGTCTTGCCAAAGCTGCTTAACCTGAATATAAAACTAAGCTTTCACGTCGCTTCCAGTTTATAAAATGGACTGAAAAAAGGTATAAGTTATATGATGAATGAAGAGAAAGCCAACCAAATCCAGAAGATAAGCTATTCTAGATTCTTATGTAGATAACTTATCTAGAAACTTCAAATAATCAATTAAAAAGATAGGAAAACAGTTCCAGATTAAAAGAGAGACATAACAACCAATTTTAACTTATAAACTTTAATTAGATCCTAATTTTTAAAAAAGATATATAGGGGAGGAAGGGAGGAAATGGGAGGGTGGTAGGGACAGAGAAGTAGAGTTAGACACATTGTCACTCTCAGCAAAATGACATTTGGCTAAACTCTTAATACCTGCCAGGTGGAAAACCACAGATGACCCAGCTGCAGTCATTTATGCTATACCAAATAAGTCACATGCAAATTTACCTGCCCTGCCCTTTTGTTCCCCTCTCCCACCAACTCTCTTTGACAATTTCTCTCTCTCTCTTTGTCCCCATCCATACAGAGAGGTTTTTGTTTTTTTTTGTTTTTTTTGTTTTTTTTAGGCGAGGCAACCCTTGGTTGACCTCACAGATTACAAGGACCCTGTCAGTTTACAATCCCTTACTTTTTATTTTTTTCACCTACAGCACCTCGTCTTCCTAGGTGGCCACCCATCCAAGTACTAACCAGGCCCGACTCTGCTCAGCTTCTGAGATCAGATGGGATCAGGCTGGTTCAGGGTGGCATGGCCATAGACAGGGAGCTCTCTTTTTTATGGGTCCCCTCACCCAGTGACTCCTCTCACTTATACCATAGTGAGTAATAAATAAATCTTTGAATTACTTGCAACCAATGGCTCTAGTATGGTTTGTTTTGACATTTGACACCAATCTAAGAGGGGACCATGTCAGATGATTTTACTTACACACACACACACCCTCCACATATACAGGCAATTCTTACTTTGCATGGTACTGTGTTAACTGCATGGTTTTCTTGATTTGCGTGGTTACATGAAAACTTAAAAATTAAGGAATAGGTTCTAGTACGTAAGTTTCAGTTAACATAGTACTGTGTAAAGTGAAAGTTTCCTGTATTTCTCTCCAAATAAACAGATGACTATGGTTCAGTTTTACTCTAAGTACATACAATTTTCTCATAGATTTCTACCTTATCAGAGGTGATCAAAGATCGTGGTTCAAAACTCGATGCACCAGAGATATGGGCTAATGCTGCTGCCAATGCATCCACTGCCCCTTTTTCTTCTATCAGTCTCTGAGCTGATGGTCGAAAAAAATCAACAGCGGCATAAGAAACCGAAGCCAGAGACCTATGGTTTAAAAATAGCAAATTTTCTTGGTCAAGACAAAGGGAAAAAAATTAAAGAAAAGAGAATGAATGGGAAAAGAAAGAGCAACGTTTTCGTATTTTAATATAACTAAATGTCTGCTGGTAAAACTGGTGATTAAATTTTCTGATATTTGAACTAGGAGAGCTTAAAGATGAATAGCCTAATACAAAAGAAAAAATTATTCAGCAAGGTCAGAAAGCATACCTGATGGCATCCATGCTTTTAGATTTAACTAAATCCATTGTAGAAGGAACACCTACACGTTTAAAAGTAATTCCCTGAAAATGAAAGAATTATATTAAAGAAAAATGGAAGTCTTTACAATTAATTCCTAAGTTAATATAATTTGAATTTCCACTTCTTGGACTTAAGGATTTCCAAGCCCTAGCAGATCAAAGATCTGCATTTTCTAATATATCATCAATTATAAAATATACAAAAAGAAAAAAAATTTCTGAATTGCCCCTTAGTTACAATTATGGAATTTCACTTGCAAAATAAAGCTGATTCAAAAAAAGAAAAAAATGCTATTTATATCTATCAACATTTTTTCTTATTACCCTCTCATTTTACTAAGTATATGAAAGTGTATAAAAACATCATAAAAATAGGAAAAATGTGAAATATGACAAAAAATTCAGACCACAAAAAGTATAATTTCTAGAAACTGGCTATTGTACCATTATTCAATATAGTCTTAACTATTACACCAAGACAATGTCACAGTCACCCATTTACAAGGCTGAACTGAGAGGTACTAAAATCACAATGCACTTCAAGGGAGAAATTCATGGGAAAAATGAGAAAGTCAGCTCTTCTGTCTTCACAATAAAAGTTGTATTAAAACAGTCTTGCAGCTAATACAAATTTAGCTCTCCACATGCTTCACATCCAAATGCAGCTTAAACTGAGAAAAGTTATAAATAAAGCCTGAAATAATTTAACTCTACTTACTGCTTTTTGTTCCACGTATCTTAGTTGACCTCTTTCTCTTGGTTGATAAAAACATATACAAATCCCTGTCCGGCCAGCTCTACCTGTGCGTCCAGAGCGATGAATATAGGACTCAACATCCTAAAAAGAAAAGGTAATACTTTTTAAAAATCTAGCAAGTTGCACACATTCCGGCATCAAAATAATAATGCTAATAACAAACTATCACTAATAATAATATTTTTATTTCAATCCTGTTGCTCTTTTCAACATCCCAAAGAATTTTTACGCAGAATTTTGGGATAAAGGGGTATGATTTAAATCTTTTTATCCACCGCATCCCTGGACTCTTTATATGGCAACTTTTTATAACTCCCTTGCACGAATCCATGCTTTAAATCTAAATAATGAAGTTTAGTAATTTGCAAGGGCATCAGATTCTAATCAATTTAACATCACACTAACAAAAAATGGCTAAGAGCAAGAACAGATAACATATTTTCATACCACAAGCAATATCTTGTAAATAAAATGGTAATTTACACAGCTACTTTTCTTTTCCCCAAATCAAATCTCATTTCCTACCTGTGGCGGAGAACTCTGAATGACCAGGTCAACCTCAGGAATGTCCAAACCACGGGCAGCCACATTGGTTGCCACCAAAACTTTAAAACTACCTTCTCTGAAGCCTTTCAGTGTAATTTCTCTTTGTGACTGTGCAATGTCCCCATGTAAACACTGGGCATTCTATTTGAAAAAAGGGAAAAGTAAGTGTACAGCTCATACTTAGAATTGAAAGCACCCTAACACCATAAAGCCTATGCTCTTTGTTTTTTAATCTTATTTCCTGATAACACGTACTTATTGGTTTTTTTTAAAGTCAAACATTACAGAAAGTATTTAACATAAAATATAAAAGCTTCCCTTAGTATCAGTCTCCTAATAATTCACTGCTAAGTTTGGTGAACAGCCCTATAGATATTTTTTTCTTTTTCTTTTATGTTTTCCAGATTTTTTTAAATATATACATGCTTCTCACATATACTAATGTATAATTTTATGCATTTACTTATAAAAACGGGATGCTGTATATGTACTGTTTTGTAACCTACTTTATAAGTTATCTTAGCCATTTTCCACATCTATAGACATAACTCTACTTAATTTTTTAAAACTGTATATGATTTCTTCATATGGATGCAGTATCATTTATTTTAGCAATATCCTACTAATGAACATTTGGGTTGCATCCAAATTTTCACCTTCAGAAACAAAGCTAGAGTGAACAACATTGTATTTATATATCTGGACACCTTCGTATATGTATATTTCAGTAGGATACATATCTAGAAGTTGAATTTCTGGGTGGAAAATGATAAACATTTAACATTTTAAAAGCTATTGCATAATCATATTATAAAAAAAGCTGGCTCATTTACTCTTCAACATTCTGGGTATTTATTTCATCATTCCCTACCTACCCTGTAAATTATGAATCATAATCCTTGTGAATCTAATAGGCAAAAATGATTTCCCAATGTTGTTTTAATTGTACACATTTCTTTATCTTTTAGTGAAATCGAACCTATTTATACTACTTACATATTTATCTTCCATTTGTGCTGCAAATAATTTACCTAGTATTACAAATAAGTGTACTAGTATTCCTAGCCACCATTACAATTTAAAGTTCTTAACAATGATTTAATCCCAACAGTGTCTAAACCTTTGTATCTAAGCCTAATGCACCCATGAGTTAATCACTGAGTGCTTGCTATGCACCATGCACTATGCCAGGTTCTGGAACAATCATAAAGAAACCGTCTTTAGATAGACAAGTTGACAGGCATTTTCAATACAATGTGATATGTGCTATAACCAGGTGCAGGGTGCTATAGAAATACCTAGGAAGGGAACCTAACTCAATCTTGTTTGAGAGGAAGGTAACACTGACACATAAAAAGGAACTAGTAGTTGAAGTAAAAGAAGAAACAGAAAGCTAGGGAGTTCCAGGCAGAAAAAATATATATAAATAGTGTGTCTAGGGAACTACAAATACTTCACTATTGCTAAAGCATAGAGTTAAAAAAAATGGTGAGAGATGAGGCTGGAAAGGAATATGAATTTTATCCTGACGACAGTACAGAACAATTGAATGACTGTAAGATCATCATGAACATGTATGCATTGTAGAACACTAAGGCTACAATGTATAAAATGTATTAGAAAAGGGCAAGGCATACATTGTTGGTGGGATTGCAAATTGGTACAGCTGCTATGGAAAATAGCATGGAGGTTTCTCAAAAAATTAAAAATGGATATACCTTTTGATCCAGAAATTATACTTCTGGGTATTTATCCAAAGAAAGCCAAAACAATAATTTGTAAAGATCTATACACCCCAATATTCATGGCAGCACAATTTACAATAGCTAAGATATGAAAGCAACCTAAATGCCCATCAACGGACAATTGGATAAAGAAATTATGGTTCATATGTACAATGGAATATTACTCAGCCATTAAAAAACTGAAATCCTACCATTTGCAATGACATGGATGGATCTAGAGGTTATTACGCTGAGTGAAATTAAGTCAGAGAAAGATAAATACCATATGATTTCACTTACTGGAATCTAAGAAACAAAAAGAACAAGCTAATCAAAAACAGACTCACAAATATAGTGGACAATTTGGTGACGGACAGAGGGAATGGGGGTTAGGGGAATAGGAGAATGGGATGAAAGGTTAAAGAAGTACAAATTAGTAGTTGATAGATGGTCACAGGGATGGGGAGCATGGCAGAGGGAATGCAGTTAGCATTAAAATGTTGGCTGGGTGAAGAGCCAGGGGAGGGAGGGAGCAATTGGTGGGGTCGTTTTATGAACACTATACACATCTAACCAATGTACTGTATACTTGAAACTGATTCAAATAAATTATAGATAAATAAATAACAAAAAAAAAAGGGCAAGGCAAAAGTAGAAATTCAAAAGAGATGTCAGTGGCCTCACCAAAGCAGTGCCAATAACCATCTATTCATTCAATACATACCTAGTAATCTACAACACGTTGGGCACTAGGTATAAAACAGCAAACAAAAACAAGACTGCCTCTGTCTTCATGGTCTTTATACTTTGGCCAGAAACATTAATCAAATAATTAGGCACACAAATAACTTTAGCCAACAAGCGTAATGGTTGATGCAGGAGTTTAAGAGGCAAAGAGCATTTATAAGAGGACAACCTGACCTAGTTTGGAGCAAAAAAAAAGTCCCTGAAAAGTGTGCTCTGGACTGATATTGGAAGGGTGAGTAGGAGGAGCCTCAGCAAGACAGACTACAAGTTCAAGAGCCCTGAGGTGAGAGGAAATATGGTATATATGGAGAAAGTGCAGAAATGAGGGGAAAGTGTGATAAAAAGATGAGGCTGGAAAAGGTAAGTAGAGGCTAGGCCATAAATGAATTTAAGAACAACTAGTAAATGAAACTGGGAGGACTTGGTGAAGGGAGTGGAAATGAGTATGAAGGAAAGAAATATATTATATATGACTGCCAGATTTTGAGTTTCTGCAACAGTAGTGGGAAAAAATGGACCATTTTAAACCATAGGAGACAGAATCCAAAAATATTTTAGAGTTAACTACATGGCATATGGTAAGGAAGAAAAGTCAAGGGTAGATTTATGGCTTAGGCTACAGGTAGATGTATCATTCAACAACAGGGAACGCTGGAGATAGTGTTTATAGGTGTGTAGAAGAGAATGAATTCAATTTTAGGTACATAATGGGCTGGGGTGTCTTTAGCTAGTAGAATAAATATAGGACTAGATTCTGGAGACAAAGCTAACCTGGAAAAAAATCTGGACATCATCTGCATATAGACAATAACCAGAGCCATAGGAGTGACTAGATATATGTATCTATATACATAGCTATACTACTATATTTCTACACTTATTGGCTGCTTGCTATAAAAAAAGCATTGTGCTAAATGTTTTAAATAAACGATTACATTTAAATCTTGAAAGTATAAAAAATTTATTTTTAATACCACTTTTAAAAAAGGAAACATGGGCACAGAAACATGAAGTAGCTTGCTCAAAGTTGCACAGCTAGTAACACAACTGGGATTTGAACTGTCTGATCTGTCTGACTCCAAAGTCTATGCTATTAATTACTATGCTCAGGAAGAATATGTTGAGTGAGAAGAAATAAGTAGAGGTTTGAGGTGAGTGAGGAATGCCCATATTTTAAAGCACAGCAAGAATATAAAAAGACCTCAACAAAACAGAGAGATTAGTCGGAGGAGAAGGAAGAAAACCTGTATAATATCATGGAACCCAAATTAAATGTTCAAGAAAGAAAAAATTATCTTATTTTTTTTAAACAGTCATAAGCAAACATATTTTAAATAAGTGAACAGGTTTTCAAGTGAATTTTTCAAATTCACCTTAAAAAATTTGATACACATTGATTTTCTTACTTGATAACTAGTCCTAAGGGGGACTTAACACATTCATGATACCAGTGATGGTCACCGGGTCTTTAAGTTATGAATAAATTATTTCCCAGAAGTTTGTGTAAGTGTGTGTGTAATTGTTTAGAATCTTAAGAAGGTATTTTTCTGGTAAACATTGACCTGAAGAGAAAAACTAAATTTAAATTTAAAAATAAAAGTAAACTAATCACTAAAGTTCCCTTGTTAGTCCATAAAATCTTGTATTATCCATAATGATGTCCTACTACTATTTTTACCTAAACAGCAAACCAGCGGAGGCAAAACTGCATTACTTCCAACCATAGAAACTGATCACCATCCAATAATATTTTAAGAATTCTCAACCAGCCCTTGCGGTAAGGCAGTTCCTCCCTATGAGATAAAACAATAGTTTCTGCAAGACAGCTGCTACTGAGTGTTCTAAAGCCATGACAGGAAAAGTAAATCAACTAGCTTTCAACACTATTTAGCATCTGTTTATACTGGATACAAAGCCAAAGCTCTACAATTAGTTAAAATGACACGGAGAAGATGGTGACAGCATAGTCTTTGAATCTCCAGTTTCCACATAAAAACAAACAGAGCAAAACAAGGATAACACAATTAAAAATCCAGACAACATCTATGACAAAACTAAATGACAAAGTATTTTCATAATTTCCAAAACATAAGCAGGTAGGGACAAGACCTGTATGTATAGGGGGAATTTGCTAGTCCTAGGAACAGATACTCCCTGGAAACTGTAATGGGCCAATTTGAGAACAGCAAGTGAAACTGCGAGAGTTTTTGCACCTTCAGAGGTGAGTGTGAGGAGCCAGAGATAAGGTCTGAAAGAGGATGGAGCACCCTGGACCCTATAACAACTTTAAAACAAGCAAGCCAATGCATCCTTGTCAGGACAAAGCCCCACACTGAGGAGAAACTGTTGGACCTAGAATCCAAACTGAAGATGCCAGGTGGTCATAGAAGCAACAAAAAAAAAAAGAAGATCCAGATAAAACTGAGAGAAAAGACAGCCAGAACTCAGAAAATGAAGGTCTTTTTAAAAAACACCTTTGTTGAGATATAATTTATAGACTGAATTCTTAAAACACTAACAAAAATTACAAGAGACTTGAAACTAATTAAAATTTAAAAAATAAAGATCGCACTTAAAAATAAATCACAGGAGAAACAGCTCTAGAGCTATGAAGTAGAAAACTATTCTTACCCACACAGCCTCATCTAACATTCAGAAAGATTAATTACATCTAAAAATGAACAATAGAAAAAGTCACAGTTAAACTCCAAAAAAAGTAATTAGAAGGGAGGAGAATAAGCAGAATAGTATCTCCATGATTAATGAAAGTGCTCTAGAAAGGCATGCCCACAAAACAGATGAAAACCATAGCATTATATTTCTGAATGCGCTACAAGAAATTTTTTAAATGACATAAGAACAAGAAATATGAAAATGAGAAAAATTCAGAAATGATGCGAAATGACTCAAGAAAGAAGTATCAATAAAAGATAAAGATTTTTCATAAATGAAGACTATACTGAAAGGAATATAAGATTGAGTAAAACACAATGGATGATGCCTTAAAAATGAGAAATTCTGAAACTCGAAGAAAAGACGAAAAGGATTTGAGATAAAGTGAAAAAGGAGAGAGGAAAAAAAGCCAACATACATATAGCAAGAGTCCCTAAAGAAAAACCGCAAAGCAATCAGAAAAAAAACAAATAAAAAATTTAAAATTCAAGAAAGTTTTGCTGAAATTAAAATATATATTAGAAACTACAAATTGAACATGTATACTGTGTACCCAGATAAAGTGACCAACACCACCAAAATATATTATAGTATAACTAACCGATTTTTAAATAAAAAGAAAAGTCTTTTGCATTAAGACAAAAGACCAAATCAATTCTAAGGGGAAAAAAATCAGATTGGCATCAGACACTTTATTCCAAAAACAATAGAAAAAACATATTTAAGATACTGAAGGAAAGAAAATGTGAACCGAGAATTTTATATTCAGCCGAAATGATTTTCAGGTATGAAGTTAAAAATAAGCTATTATCAACAGGCAATATTGTCCTGTTGATATGAGTCCATCCTCAGGAGTCTACTAGATAACAAGTCACAGATAACAAAAATGACTGAAGAGACATTGACCTAAGAACTGATAGCATTATTATCAATGGATGTTAACATCACAAAAAGAGAAACACTAGACATTATACACCTCCTGAAAGAAGTACACCACCTATGAAATAGTTTTGCCCAAATGAAACAAGCAAACTTGAATTTTTTAGGAGATACAGAAGACAGAGGAACATATTAAATGATATCACAGGGAAGCAATATTCTAGATTCTGGAAACAGGTTTCCTAAACAAGAAAAAAATAAAAGGAATCCAAATACTAAAGAGATTTAATGAAATCACAAAATGTAAGAATCTTATTTGGACCCAGATTCAAGGGAAAAAACTATAAAAGGAAAAACAAAGCATTTATGAGGCAACAGAGACTGAACACTAATTGATATTATTGTTAATTTTTTAAATGCAATAACATTACTGTGCGTGTTTTTAAAACATAATCCTTTTCTTTTAAAGACACATACTCAAATATTTATGGACATAATATGTCATCCAAGGCTTGCATCAAAATAATCCTGGAGCAGAAAGTGAGTGGCATTTGGATGAAATAAAATAATCGTTGCAGCTAGAGAGTGAATACATAGGGTTCATTACAATGTCGACTTTTGTGTTTTAAATTTTCTACAATGAAAAGTTGAAACAAAAAAAGACATATGGATTTAGTATTCTGATCCATTCATTCAATAAATATTTGTGATTTGTTTTATAATACAACTCTGAAATATTACCCACTCTTACCCACAGAAACTCACTTTGTTTCAACTTCTGTATTTTCAAGATCACATTTGTAAAATCATAAAAAAACCTGATGAAAATGGATAGAATTCCATCCTGACTTAAGATATGAGAAGGTGGCTACAACTTCTTTCTGAATTAGATCCAATTCTAAAAATGACTATCAAATCTGGTCCACAAAATATAATATGATTTTTTGTTGAGTGCTTCATCCCGATAATCTCGATTAGAGAAAGTATGAAAAAAGGCTTACCTGCTTTATGTGCGGATTCATTGCCATTTCAGTAACATTTTTTTTGGTCTCACAGAAAATAATAGCTCTCCCTTCTGACCCACTGTAGACTTGAAGGACATCTCCAATAACTGCTGGCCTCTGAGACCAATGGCATTGGATGGCCAAATGCTTTGAGGAGAGAAAATGCCAAATGTTTCATTAAAATGAGTAAAAAGGTGTAATTTTTTCTGTCTGTTCAAGAACTGGCTTTCCTGGGAGACAATAAGACAATGATTCTCTTGAACCCCATTTAAAAACAACATACAAATGGCTATCGATAGGTGAAAGGATAAACAAATTATGATATAGTTATACAATGGAATACTACTCAGTAACTAAAAGGAACTGAGAGAGAAAGAGGGAGAAAGAGGGAGAGGGGTGAGAGGAGAAAGGGAGAAGGAGAGGGAGAGAGAAGGAGAGGGAGAAAAGGAGGAGGAAGAGGAGGGAGAGGGGAGGTGGAGGAGGGAGAGGGAGGGAGGGAGGGAGGGAGACAGACAGACAGACAGACAGACACACCAATACTGACACCTTCAACAATATAGAGGAATCTCAAAACATAAACTGGGTGAATGAAGCCTTACAGAAAAAGAGTCCAAACAGTATGATTCCATTTACATGAAATTCTGAAACAGGCAAAACTAATCTATGGTGGAAAAAAATCAGAACAGTGGTTGCCTCTGGATGGGGGGCTAACTAAGCCGAAGCATGAGGGAAATTTCTGGGACGATGGTAACATTCCACATTTTGATAGGGGTTTGGGTTATGCACATGGACGAACTGGTCAAGATTAAGCCAATGTATACTTAAAAGTCTGCATTTTTTGTATGCAAATCTCTTAAGAATTATATTATAGGATGAACCTCAAAAACATTATACCAAGTGAAAGAAGCTTGACAAAAAAGTCACATATTGTATAACATTTTTATGAAATATCTAGAATAAGTATAACCAGAGACAAAAAGCAGATTGGCAGTTGCCAGAGACTAGGGGAAGTGGGGAATGAAGAGTAACTACTAAACGGTTACCGGGTTTCCTTTCGGAGTGATGAGATGTTTTGGAAGTGGATAGAGGCTCTGGCTGTATAACATTGTGAATGTACTAAATGACGCTGAATTGTACACTTTACAAGGTTAATTTTAGTTATGTGAATTTTACCTCAATAAAAAATTTGTAAATATTGAGAGCTCTAGTTAAAGATGTGCATACTAAAATATTTATGGGTAAGTATATTGATTTCTGCAATTTGAAATGCATCAAGAAATAAAATGGGTATAGGGATGGATATATATGTGATAAGGCAAATATAGTAAAATATTAACGGTAGAATCTACCTGGCGGGTACATGGGTGTTCATTGTAAAATTCAACTTTTCGGTGTGTTTGAAAATTTTCATGATAAATAACTTATGTTGTACGTTTTAAAATCTGTTCACTTTAACATATATTATACCTCAATAAAATTGTTTTTAAATGTAACACATTAATTATAGAACACCTGGAAAACAGAAAAAGCACAAGAAAACCAAGAATCATTTATCACCTACAACAAGGTCTTGCTTCTTTTCCCACTCTCAAAAGGAAAAAAAAACCCAAATCTGATCAAGCTTTACAATCTAACTATTAAGTCACAGGAAAATGAAGGCAGAGGAACATGTTAAATAACACCACAGGGGTGCAAATCAACAAAATTGAGACTGTGGGAAACTTGCAAGACAATAGATCTTTCTTTTCAACAAAATATTTATAAGGAAAAAAGGGACAGAAGAATGTACTAGATTGTAAAAGATCTAAGACAGTGGCAGAGTAAAGATCTTATTTGGATCCAGATTTGAAAAGAAAAAAGACAACTAGAATAATGAGGAACTAGATATTTAATGATAGTAAAGAATTACTTTCTTCTACTGTGATAACTCTGTGGTTTGGTTTTGCTTTTTAAAGAGCCCTTATCCTCTTAAAAACATATAAAATTACATGAAGATGAAAAGATGACTAAATGCTTCACATGTAGGGATGAAAGCTATATGGGAGTATAGAAAAGATCATTCTTAAAGCCTGGTGATAGGTACATCAGATCCCTTATACTATTCAATTTTTGTATATGTTTGAAAACATCTTTAATAAATTTTTTTCACTGATACATTTTACACTCTTATTGTAAAAATTTCAGCCATTAAAAAATATACGAAGCTTCCTCTGACTATCCTGTACTGTTTAAGTCCTTTCTCTGAAATAATCACTATTATTAGTTTGATGTTCACCCTTCCAACCTATGTTTGTATATTTACATAAATACCTAAAGAATCCATAGCATTTTTGTGTATTTTTTAAAAAATAGTATAATTCTATACATATCACTTGGTAATTTAATTTTTATTACTCGAATTCATTTTTTAACCATTACATTGTATTTATAGATTATAATACTGTTCATTTAACCTATTTTTATCTATATACACATATATGTACATCTACTAAATGGAAAAATTACATATATGTAACATATTTGTCATAAATCATACAAATATTATCTTTCTTTTAAAAAACATACTACTAGTTTAAATTTTCAGAGTCGAAATTATCAACCTTATTTTTTATGGTATATTCTTCTGACTTTGTTTAGAAAAGCCTTCCCTTTCCCGAAATCAAATAACTGTTCCTCTATACCTGCTTTAAATAACTTTATGCCTTAATTTCTAAAAATCTTTTGGGAATTTTTTTGGTATAGACTATGAGATGAGGATCTAACATTTTTTCACCTAAGCTTTAACAAATTATTCCAATACAATTCTTTTTGGATTGATATGAATCACCTCTTTTGTCACAATATTTAGCAAAGTTTGTCTATGTTTAAGTTTGTCTCTATGGCTGCTTGGTTATCTTCTGTTAGGTAGGACTTGCCTGTGCACATACTTTTCCCTCTTTTATTTATTCTATTCTGCTCCACAGTCTCAGACTATAGAAATATATAAGTATCTTATTGACTAAGGGCAATAAAGAAAGATTTGGACTGAATTGGTACCCAAAACTTAAGTTTAGCTTCAATAAATTTCAAAATACCAACTGAAAGTTAAAATTTATCATGCTGGAAAGCTACTTACTTCCACAGTAGTTGCAGCCTTTTGAGTCATTTTTCCAACAAGGTCAACCTGTTCATATCTGGGTTTCATATATTTTTTTGCAACTTTGTATACCCACTGTGGGCAAGTTGCAGAAAAAAGTAAAGTCTGAGGATTGTCTTCAGAATCTTAAACAAACAAAAAGAATTCAAATGCTTTCTTAATACCCCAGGATGTAGTCAGCTCTTAAAAATCCCCCCAGACTTCAAAGAAATAATGAAAAATTCAAAACATGGGGTGAATTGAACATATAAACTTCATTGCAATTATTAAAACTTTCAACTTTCATAACTGGGAGAAAATATGAAGAAAACTGAATCCAGAAGGAAGGTGAAAATTTAAGGAACAATGAGCAAAGAAACCAGTAAAACGTATTAGTAAATGCAACTACTGACTATAAAGCATAAAAAGCTAAGAAAATAGTTAAAGTATGCTATTATACTTTCTTGATCAGGAAGAGAACAAATAACTTCAGTTTTGTTAGAACACTGGAGACAATGTAAAAATTATGAAGCAAAAAATTCACAAGCTTTTAGATAAGAGAATAATTGCTAATGTGCTTATTTTTAATTAGGATATACCAGTTTTGTAGGATTCGTGGATAATATCTTCAACTTGTTCAGCAAAACCTAAATCTAACATTTGATCCACTTCATCAAGCACAACATGGCGTAATTTAGAAAGATCTAATCGGCCACTCTGCAGATGGTCTTTGATGCGACCAGGGGTTCCAACCAAGATGTCAATACCATTTCGAATATGATTAACTGTGAGAGGAGAAAAATATTAGTAATATGTAAATAAAATATATATTTTCCTATTATTTCTTTTGATTTAAGTAGCAAATAGATCTTTGAGCTACTATCATACTTATTTACTCACTTTGGCTTTGATATGATGTTCCACCATAAAAACACGCCACACTTAGTTTTCTAGTTATATCTTTGAAGTCTTTGGCTACTTGGTTTGCCAGTTCCCTTGTGGGAGCCAAAACGAGTACCTGAGCAGGAGATTTAAAAAACAAAAAGATACATATTTTCCTAAAGATATCTAAATTCAAACTGAGAAAACTTTTTTTTTTTAAGGCACATTTAAAACTAGAAATCTCAACATTGATGTCGTGGTATTTAAAGAGCACAAATAACAACAAGAATAATACCTTATATTTATTATATTCTCCCTTAATTCCTTCAGGTCTCTTTTCAAAACTCACTTTCTCAATAAGCTTGTCAGTCTCTCTTTTCATATCCCCTCGCCCTTGCTTAACTGTTTCTGTTTTGCACTTACATCATGTAAGATATTTATATTTTACTTATTTGCTTATTGTCTCTTACTCACTAAAATGTAAACTCCATGAAGACAGGAATTTGTCAGTCTGAGTTACTGTATTCCTTACATTTCAACCTGTACAGAACCGATACTCAAAAAATATCTGCTGAATGAATGAATGAATGCATGCTCACCATATGCCAGGCACTGGTGTTTTACCTGAATTATCTAATTGGATACACGCAAAAACCCTATAAGGTGACATTATTATCCTAATATTACAAATGAGGAACCTGAGTCTTAGAGAAGTTAAGAATCTTGCCCAAGATCAAACAGCTAGAAGTGGTGGAGCTGGAATCTCCAGTAATGTACTTCTAGCATAAAAGTTTTTTAAGGCAGTGTTAGAACTGTGTCCTATTTCTATTATTTGCAGTCTTTCCTAATTTCACCTAAGAAGCAAAACTTTCTGAAAAAGATTTGTCCTCTTGGCCAACCTGATCCAAGAGTATTATGACTTAATTATATTCACATATGTAAATTTAGTTTCATACTGTAACATCATTTAACAGTCTCAACAAACAAATTACTTTTAATCACATCCTTTCAAATTATAATGCTGATTTTTTTCTTCTTCACTTTTATGAACCTTAAAGTGAACACGGGTTCTAAAAAGGTCAAATTTTAGGCTAAAATTTCAATAGGTCCTATCTGTTCTTTACCACTTATAAATTAAGACAGATCTCCAGTATTCCAAAAACATAGGGACCAGTAATACCATTTCTATAATCTCTTCTTAAAAAGTCAACCAGCGAAATAAATATTCTTTGCTGAATGACAAAATAAATGAATACCTCTTTAGCAAATTCATTGTTTAAAAGCAAAAGTCATGACTTAAAAAAAAAAAAAGAAAAAGGTCTCTAAATATACTAACTGTAAATACTCCTAAAATTAGATATGCTGGCTTCATAATACACAGTTATCAAAGATGTCTATGGATCCATACACATTACATTCATATGCAGTAACTACTTCACTTTAGCATTACTTGAATTTCTTATGTTAAAAATAAACAAATTTTTGCTTTAGGAGCCAAATTTTTATTTTATGCCAAAGTTTTCTATATGGGGAGTACTTGGACTTAAAACTAGTATACTTTCTTTCCTTTGCCAATGGAATAATGTTTAAACCTTTTACTCCCTATAATGGTTACCTTTGGTGAGCGGCTTTTTTTAATTGTCTCTTGATTTCTTTGGAGTCTTTCAATCAAGGGGATGGCAAAAGAGAATGTCTTTCCTGTTCCTGTCCGTGCTTGAGCAATTAAATCTTTTCCTTCATATACAGGACCAAAGGTCTTAACTTGAATAGGAAAGAGATATGTTACCCCTCGACCTGCAAAATGAGATTTCATTGAAATATTTATTTAAGACTAGCATTAGAGAAAGATATATTTATTTGAAAATGGTAATCCTGATTCCTCAACATCTGCCTAAAGATATACCACCTAGTGACATGTACAGTTATTCCTATCCCAAAGAGAAATTATTTTTAAAAATTGGTCTGAACTTTTGACAAACACATATAATTCTTTAGAGTTAAAAACAGGTTAGAATACCAAAAAGGATGATATAGAAATAACTGCAATTAAAGAAGAACTATTTCTCTATGCTTTCTATATTCTCCTTTTAGTTGGAAAAGGCAGAGTTTTTATAAAATCTAGTTTTTAGATTTAGATTTTCAACTGCATATCCATTAAAATTCATAGTACCTTTCAGAAGCTTTACAGTCTCCTCAGAAATAGGGAAATTGGAGAAGTCTCCTTCTTTCTGTTCACGTGTTAGGGTCTGTCAAAATGAAATTAAAGTTCTAACTAATATAATTCATATTCGACTAGGTATTTAGAATCTTTTAGTCATTTACTGTTTTTAGTTTTACTAAAGGAGCTAATAAATCAACTTTACTTAGCACTTGAAAAATTGTATAGATTAATTTACAAGATAAATTAGTGGGAAATTCTGTTAATTTCAAAAGTATCCCTTTAAATAGCAATCTTACTTAATACACTTTCCCATAATACATTTAAAAATGATCAATTCACACATAAATCTCCCTTTAGCAATACATCTACTACATAAATTAAAATATATTTCCATTTGACTAAGATATTACAAAAGAGCTATTTAATAATCTAAATCATATTCACAGATACAAAAAATATTAATTGTGAGGATCAACATCAGCCTGTAAAACAGCCCTAAAGGAAATTGCACGAGGAAAGTAATCTGTTTAAAAATAAAGGTTAAAAAGTTGTTATACGGCTCTAAAAAGCATTTTTTAGGTCACTAATACAAAGAAAAGTTTCTGTAAGCTTGAAAATTTCTTTAACATATATACAGGTTAGCGTAACATTATCACTTAACATCTATTGAAAACTGTGTACTAGTCAACATACAGATAAAACAGAGACAATATATCTACCCATAAACTTTGTTATTGACATGTTTAAAGAAAGTAGTTCCAGAACCACACATAACAGCAATTTTCAAATAGGGAATCAGGTAGAACACATAGTATCAAATTCAAATTGTAAGCCATTTAAGCAAACCTTAACAGTATCTTCATTTTAAGATAAAAAAAAAATATTTTATTATAAAAGTAATACATTTTCATTGTAGAAATTTTAGAAACTATAAACAGAAATAAATGTTATCTATAATCCAATCAGCAAAGCCACATTACAAGCACATTACTCCAATCCTTACTCTATGCACATATTGATTTTTTTAAAGTAAAAATAAGACAATACTGCATTTACTGTTTTGAAATCTGCTTTTTTCATTTAATAAGATACACTAAATGCCTTTCTAACACTCTTCTATGACATTTAAGACAGATGTATGCTTTCGCATGAATATAGCATATTTTATTAATTTCAGACATTTAGGATGCTGAAATTTTTGGCTATTATCAACAATATCACTGTGATAAGAGTACTTATTCATACATCTGTGCACATCTTTTGTGATTATCTCCTTAGGAGGATAGATTCCTAGAGTTAGAATTCCTAAACCCTAACATGATCTAAACAAAATTACAAACAGTTAAGCCTATTATGATACAAAGCATTGTATCAAGCAAAATCCCAACAGAACAAGAGCAACCTGTACATTCCACTACTAGCAATACAGATTTGTAGGACCTTATTTAGATCAGCTAACATTGTGTTTCCTGACCAATAACAAATTCACAAATAAAAAACACACATTGTAAGGCAAGAATTCAGCATTTTTTCCCAAAGCTCCCCATATATTACACATTAAGCTCAAATGTACTTAAATTATCAGCAACTACCAGATTTAAAAAATATAAAAAATTACTAATCACCAAGAATTATTAAGACTATCAAAGTTGTTTCTGAGGAACTAAGTAATTTACTGACAATTAATAATACCTAGAAAGATTTATGAATTCTGCTAGAGGAAAACTGCAAAAACAAACTGAACAAATTCTGTGCAAGAAAATATCTACTCGACAGGTACTGACAAAAGCTGCAGATTTTACACTAAACATGTTTTCTATATCTCTCAAAAATACTCATGAGAAAGATTTCTTCAGATCATTTTATGTTTCATTTGTTTTAAAAATGCAGACAGCTTTAAGATTGAGTTACAATAAGACTTAAAGATCATTTAAAGTGCTGTTGTTATAAAAAGCAGAAGGTAAAATACATAAAGTCAAGAGGGCTTATGTACTTTGTTTCAGGAAGTCAGAAGTCAATTCATGAGTACTGGTAGAGACTGAAATAACCATAATAAATACAAGTAGGTGACCATCAATAACCAATTTGGAAAAACTACTTAATAACCCAAATGTACAGGAAAAGGTTTAAATCTGACCATCCATAACCTCTACATCAAGAAAAGGCAATACCTTAAAAAAATAAGGGACAAAGGAAAAAAGGCTCAGGTTACAGCTGTACAGACTCCCTGGTCCAACTGAGGGTACTAGACACCAAGCACGTAATATTATAGAATCAATTCTAAGTAGTCTAAAAAATCAAATTAGTCTGTATTTCAGGATAATGTCAAATGCAAAACAAAAAGTATCCATACCTCCTCTAGTTTATTATCACTTGACTTATGAGAAGAACTATCTAAGGATGACACTTGCTTTGATTTTTTTTCATATTCATCAATATCTCCATTTGACAGATCTTTTCTTCTTGACTTATGAGATTTAGAAAATTCATCTGAAAGTCTATTATATCCTTCTTCAGTGTCTCCATTTAGCTTCTCTTTTGTTTTAGCTTTTTTGGACTTGGGAGCATCCAGGTCATCGGCAACACCATTTTCTCTTGTTTCTGATTTTTCATCTGAGTCAAAATGGTGCCTTGACGTCCTTCTGTCACTCTGTAAAAAAACAAGGAAGCAGTGACAGGAGGGTCACAAACTATCCTCTAAAAGAAGTTAGAACAAGACTCCCCAACCAGCAAAGCACAATCTACCGTTTTCCTGAAAAGTTCCCTGGTAGAAACCCAGACTGGTTGCTAATGCCAAGCCACTGCTTCACCTATTGCTTTCTTTCTCATCCCATCTCTTGCATTCTCAAGACATGGCCTCTAGCCCCTTTCTAATCCCATAATTAGATTTAAGGGAAATTAAAATAGCTCCTTTTCAGAAGAAGGAGATACATAAATGTAAAAACAAACAAACAAACAAACAAAAACTTCGAATAGCTCCAAAAGAAAAAAATTAATATTTATTACCTACCCAGCATTGTGTAATGTGTTTTCGGCTTATCTTGTTTAAATCTTCATAACAACCCTATAAGGGAAGTACAGGTCCATAATCCCTTATCCGAAATTCCGATATCCATAAAGCTCTGAAAACCGAAAGTTTTTTTGTAACTTATTTGGAGACAAAACCTTACCTGACCCAAACTCATTTGGTGGCTAAATTTGACTTGAACTAAAGTAATCTTTATTTATTATACTTAGTATGGATACTCATATTTAGAATTAAGGTGTTTCATTACAGGTTGGGGGCCCCAAACCCTACTGGGGTGATACCCTTCTAAAAATCCCCAGAATTCTGAATTCCAAAACACATCTAGCCCCAAGGATTTTGGATAAGGGATAGCGAACCTGTATTACCTCTGCCATTTTACAGATGAGGAAACAGAAGTTCTCAAAGGTAAGTAATTTGCCTCTGTTACTGACCCACATGTGGGATTTCCTGCAAGTTGAAGTGCCAGAAATCAAGCACCATCTGACTTGAAAGCCCATGCTCTTTTTACATCATGCTTCCTCTCTGAACATTGATAAATAACAGGTTAAAGAAAAAATAAACCAAATGAAACTATATAATTCATGTAAAACTCCAATTGTTATACTCCCATGAAAACAAGTATATTAATCTTGGAAACTTTTTTAAAGTTTTTTAAATTTAGTTAATAGAATTTAATTTTTTCAAAAAAGGATTATTCTTCAACTTTAGTTTTAAAAAGCCAAACTGTTGGCCAGTGTTTTAATATTTGCAGACAGCAAGAAATAATTTGGAAATACGTGGTCAAATGTTCAAAATAAATTAGAGTGATTAGTGATAATAAAAACTACCATCACCAAAAATTTCATCATGATTTACACAATTTTTACAGAGTACTCTCACATACAATTTTCTCATCCATAAAATAGGAATTGCAAGAAAAATAAGGTATGTGAAAATGCTTTGTAAACAGTAGAGCTTTAACATATTAACATAAGTTATACAGTGATATGTTACATCATTTATTCTTTAGTTAACTGAAATAACCAACATCTCTCCAAATCAATAGGGTCAATAGAAAAACAAGGTCATTTATATAGAGCCAGCTTTGGGGTTTGAATTGCTCCTGGGCCCTGCACTTCGTAGAGATGAAGCAAGGTAAAGTGAGACCTCAAGGTCCAAGCCCAGCAATATCATAAGGTGATGAAATATATTGTTCCACATCAGATGCACAGTGCTTGACTTTCCACTTCGTTGGCTCCCATGACACTCTATATTCTCTCCTTATCTTCTTACCTCTACCTTCAATGGTTCCTTTTCCTCCTCTTTTGTCAATGCTCCTTAAGTCTGTTTTCTATGCACATTTTCATACCATTTTCACAGCTTCAACATACATTGCCAGGCTTCCTTCCTCACTTGCATTCCAGTTCTGAGAACCTAAGGCTCAGCTTCATATTTCAACATATCCAAAACCAAAGTTATCTTCATCTCAATGCCAGATCACTATTCAAAGGCTCTATTTCTATTAGTATTCCAATCTCTTTCCAGATTAGTAGTTATCTTTCATAAAGGAAAATCAACAAGTCTTCTGGAGAGTCTACAATGTGAAAGCCACCAATTTACAAGAATATAGTGAAATGTATTGATAGACAAATATATGGTCATTTCCCTCAAGAATCTTTGAGAAATACTAGGAAAGATACATAGGAAAAATGAGCTAACTTTACAAGGAAGGGCTTAATAAATGCCAATCGAATGATAAAGATAGCACTGGAACAAAACTCTGAAGGGGAATGTTATATGTACACTGGTTAGAACTCTAGACCTTAACAGATGGATAGAATTTGAATGCAAAAGGAAAAACAAGTATTTCAGGAGGAGGCAAAATTAAAATAACTACCAGATGATTTCACTTATGTGAGGTATCTAGAGAGTAATCAAATTCATACAGAAAGCAGAATGGTGGTTGCCTGGGGCTGAGGAGAGGGGGCAATGGAGAGGTTGGTGCCTAATGCGCACAGAGTTTCAGTTCGGAAGGATAAAGTTAAGATGAATGGTGCTGGTGGCTACAGAACAATGTGAATGTACGTAATGCTGCAAAACTGTACACTTTAAAATGGTTAAAATGGTTAATAATTGTTTGGCTGGAATGGCAAGTTTACCTTGGTGATGAGGGCAGGTTCTGCTCTCTGGGACTATACAAAATATTTTCATTCTTTGTCAAACATCAGGCTTGGAATAACACTTCCTTACCATCCTCAGCTGTTTTCTCCAGGTTTCTTTCTTTGGAGGCGTGGGGTGGGAAGTCTCTACAACTCTACAGGCTTCTTGAGGGCAGGAAATTGTTTAAACTCTTTGGTGCCCAGCAAAGAGTCTGGCACATATTAAACTCCATAAATACTTGCGGATTAAATGTAAATACTAAGAGTAAAGGCTATTAATACAACACACACGATTTCCACTATAGCCGGACCCTGGCAACGGTGGCTCTGACACTTTTCCTTAAGCTTCTAAAGCCTAGTTATCGAAGTTTGTAAACCTAAAATCGCTCTCCCCAAGATTCTCGCATACAGGTCAGGGTGACGGACAAGTAACATATTCAAAGCCATCAGTTTTCCTAATCACTGTTTGGGGACGGCCAACAGGAAGCAAATAGCAGGTCTCGCTGCTTTAGGAAGAAGAGGAGAGAAAGAACACACTCCGCGTCGATGGAGTCCCATCTCGCAGGCGCCGACGGGGAAGACTGAGGGACCACGGAGGCCGGGCCAAAGCCCAGTGCTGCCTTTCTCCAAGTTGGAGGTGTGAAGGTAGGAATGGGCAATGGCTGTGCGAGGAGAGGCCCTCGGATGCTCCGGCCCGGTTGTGACAGGCCATCAGGAACAGCTCCCCTCCCCACCCAAGCCAGCGCAGCCCAAAAGGAGGCGCGGCCCATCTTCAGCGCACCTTTTGCCTCTCCTTCTTCTGGCTCTCGGTCTCCTCCAAGGGTGCCTCCAGCTCCATAATGTCCCCCCAGAGGAGTTTCCCAGGCATCATTCGTCGCCGCCGCCTCCCTCTGGATACAGCGGCCACAAGCACCTACGGAGAGCGACAGCGTGAAAGGAAACGGGGGCAGGGCAGCCGCTGGGCCAAAGCCGTGCGTCACTTCCGGGACACGCACCGCCCGGCCAGGGAAAGTAATCCCGGATATTCTCGATTTAAACTCTCTCCTTGCGACTCAATCTCTAGCCAATGAGTGTGAGAGGTCTCGATTCGCCCACTCTTGTTCCAAAGTGATTGGCTGCTACAACTAAAACCCTGGCCAATCGCCACAAAGGATGCGCGAGTTTATTAGCATAAAATAGGGGTTTGTGGGAGGGATTCCTCTCTTTCCCCTTTCGCCACTCAGAACATTTCACCTTGGAGACGCTTCGAGGCTCCCCAGCATGCAGTGCTGGTGCTAGGAAGCCCCTCAACGGCGGTGGAGAGGGGCCCGCGCGCACGCGCGACAGACTGGCACATTCACCGGCCCGTGCGCGGTGGGTGGGGAGTGCCACGCGCCGCCCCGCCATTCGTCGCCGGAAACGGCGGGCCTCGGCCCCGCCCACTGCGGGGTGAGGCGTTAACGTCTAACGACTTCGCGCGAGATCGGAGGGTCGACGTTGTTGGCAAAGGGCTTAATAGGGGTCTGGAGTGAGCAATGTGGACTTGGAGTGAAGGCGAGAACTGGATATTCGTCCCTCAAGTCTTAGGTTTTAGTCATGAGGTTGGTCCTGGCTTCATTTTAGGTCCTTCCTACACTCCCCATTTGACATAGAGGAAACTAAACCCCAAGAAAGGATTTACTGGTCTCAAGTCACACAGTGGCACAGTCAGGACTAGAGAACTAATCTAAATCCGAGATCAGTGCCTTCTCTGCGACAGCAGCCTGAAAAACCTGGACACTAGTAGGAAAAACCTGGAGAAACCTAGAGAGAAAACAAGCCTTGATATCTTTGACATGTATTTGCAGTGAACAAACGGATTTTATTTTACCGATGGGGATTAACTGCCTCTGAATTAACTTTATACAAAACTGAAAACCTTTTGACAATACTAAGCGTTAATTCCTAGCATATACCTTTTCTAATTTCACCTGTGTTAGCTGGTTGGCTTTCTTTACAGAGCCATTTTTCTCTTCATAATCTCTTCAATCCAGCTACCCTTAACTGGGGAACAAGAAACCAAGCTGAGATGTAGATGCGGGGGCACTTCGCAAACCACTTGAGGAAGTCTAGCACACGAGCCTTGTAACCTGAACATCAAACTTGTTTCTTAGCAAAATTACAAATTGCTACATGTCATGGAGTTTAGGGATTGCTGAAACCACAAATGTTAAATCTTGCCATAGGCCTTCTGCATAATTATGGATTGGTCTAAAGTGAAAGACTATGTTTCTGTAAACATAGCCTTCAATACTATGAACAAAAGGAATGTTCAACTAATAATTGTGAGAAAATGCATCTCTGGATCTGTGCTTTTTTTCTAAATCATTTTGTCCTACTCCCTCACACCCATCCCCAATTCTACCATCTTAAAAGTTCATAGTCCTACAACAGGGCATAATGTGTATAGGAACACAGAGTGGATATGGTTAAGTATGTCACACACACAAAACTGGGACAACAGGAACAAATGTTAATATGTTGTGAAGAGCAAAGAGATGAAGTAAACTTTTTAGCTCAAGACTTATAACATTGAAATAGTTTAAGGGGTGATTATAAATTGATCAAGAGACATTGGAGTCAGAGAATGAGTGTTCAGGGTAGAAGGGAAAAATGAAAGAGGGAACAGGAGGCATGTTTCTGCCATTGTTAGCCACATGACCGTGGCCAACCCAACTTAAAAGTTGTTCTTCATTAGTAATGAGGACAAAAATGCATTGATAGTGCAGGGAATTTTGGGAGGATCAGATGATACAACAGTACTACAGAAATGACGCATTTCTAAGTTTAGCTTGAGGTATTTGGCAGGTTTTGAAAACACTGGAGACAGCTTTGAACATATTTAGCACATGTATACCTATGTATCTACCTCCTAACTGAAACTAGTTGAAAAGCTTTTTAAATTTGTATACTCTGGAGAGAGGTCTGTTTCTTTAGTCAATTACTTTATAGACGTTTTGAATCAAGTGGTGGAAGAGTATAGTCACGTTACCCCAGAAGAGGGCACCATTACCCAAGAAATGGAAGTTTGTTACTGCTATAAGGAATGTTACTAAGGTTTTAAATGGGATTTGTTAGAGGCCAGCAAAGTAGTTTCTGATACCCCCATTCTTATTTCATGACTTTCATGTCTCTCTTTCCCACTCCTTTAGGCACTGGTCTGCCTTCCCCATTCCCCAAAAGCCTTCTCAGGTTAGGTATAGAATGGGTTCTCAAAAAGTAGTGGTTCCCAAGCTTTTCACTACTACAGCTCTTTCTACTGTTTTTATGTCATGGATCTGACATTTGAAACATTTTGTCTGCTAAACTGCATTTATTAATAATTGATTCAAAATCATTCTTCTAATCTATAAATAAGATACAAATACAGTTTTACAATGTCACACCAGCATGTGATAGTTTTGCATTACTGAGGTGGTGTAATTTCAGCCACTGGCAAAGAAAAGTTTTAGTTAGCAAGGAGCAAAGCAGAGGAATTTCTATTAGGATTTTCAATATATTGAAAATAGCTCACAGAAGCCAGCTACTCTCTGAGGATTCCTAGGGGTTTGAGATCCCAGATGAGAGGGTGATCAGAGTCTCACAGTATAAATGTCTACAATAAGCCCATGCTTTGCATATTTTGTTCCTATTGATAGCATACAATATTAGCTGAAAATTTGTTAGCCAAAGAAATAATACCTTCCCCAGGCATATCTAGATTTTGATGATACTTTCTCTAATCTTCACCTAAAGGATTGAATCTCTAAATGGAAGAGCTCCAGAAAACCTGGCAAAAAACAGGGGACCTGTATAGTAGGCCACGTATTTACCTATCAGACAAGTTTTGTGAATATATAAAAACACACATAACAATATTAGGGGCCTGCTGCATTGGGCATTTCGATAGATTATCCTCAAATCTTGTAACAATATGTAAGGTATCATTACTATCTTCCTTTTACAGATGAGAAAACTGAATCAGAGAAGTTTGATAACTTTCTCCATTACACAGCTACTAAGGATTGGAACTGGGATTCAAACTTGTTTTTCTCCTAAGCTCTGGTCATCATGCTTAGGAGTTTTCTCATTAGAGAATAGACTACCATTGGGAAGAAAAATAAAGAACTAAAATTTCCACACACAAAAAATACTGGAGGAAAATGCAAGTCACCTATTTTAGAGAATAACCTCCCAAAGAACAATACCCATCTTTAATTTCTGTAGTCATGTTTTATTTAGAACGGAAGTTTATTGGTTTCATAATAGGCTCCACCTTAATACATTTAGAGAATGTCATAATGCATCCAGTAGCAAAATTAGATGGCTTTCATTGGTCCCTAGATATGGCTAGAGCCACAAGACTTTGGATTCCTTTCTGCTAAGAAACTTGTCCGGGTCCAAATTCGAAGACAGAACAGAGTTGCTAGTGCTCCTCCTTCCAAGGATTGGCAGGGATAGGTGCAGAAATAGAGAACTAGACGCAATGCTCAGGAATCTTATGTCAATCCAGTATTTTGCAAGATCCTCACTGAATCTTTTTTTTTTTTTTTTTTGAGATGTATTTGACAGGTAACACTCACTGAATCTTATAAGCACAAAACAGTACCATTGGAAGGAATCTTCAAAATCGTCTATATTTCAGCCATCCTGATAAAACTAAGTACTGGAAATACCTCTGCAACATAGTAGTCAAGGGATCACCAAGCCTCTGCTTGAATGCCCTAAATAATGGGAAATTCATTTGTTTACAAAGCTATTTCATCTACAGATAGGTTTGACTAATGCAACATTCTTCATACTGAAATCTTTCTTGTAACTTTGATTCGCTGATGCTAATTCGAAGCTATAAGATCACCTAAAGCAATGCCTCCCCCAAAAGGTGTTTCTCCCCAGATTACCCTTTTCGGTACTTTGTCCAGTTTTGAATGCCCTTGTGAACAGAGCTAATCATTTTGGAATGCCATAATAGGTTGGTCAAGGCCAATGAAAACCATAGTCAGAACTGATCTTATCTGATCTCCTCTCCTCTGCACTCCCACAGGGCCTGGAGGCAAGCTCTCCACTGTGCTGAGCTTCATCTGGCGGTCACTGTCAGCAGAACAGTGAGAGCTGGAAAGAGACACTCTCCAATGATTCAATCATCATTGAGATCTAAGGCCTTGACAATCCTTAGAAACCTCTTAGAAGAAACATCCCTTCAACCATAAGTCAGCATTAGCATCTACCTAAAACCTGTCTTGATTATTCCACTACTTGGTCTAAAAAGGCCTACCATAAAAATTCTGGCAAAGCCATGAAGGGTCTTATCATGAATGGAAATGGATCAAATGGTTTCTCTTCTCTAGATCTCTAATTCAGAACCTCCCTTTACTTCACTGATAAGCCATTTCCAGCCATTCTTCTTTTATCTCTGTGCCATCTGAGAACATCCTGACTTCTCACAGCCATGCTATAGAGAGAGCTTCAAATGTGGGGAGGCACCAGAGAAACAGTTGAGCCAGAGCCTACTGTCACAGGTATTTTAGACATTGCCAGTCAGTGACAATGTAGAGCCATTATTTCATGTTCAAGCTGGTTGCAGAGAAGATCCTTGACATCAGTGACTGGATGGAAGGAATTCTTGTTGCAGAGCACCCAACACATCGACATATATTTTTTTCTGATAATGGTAAAAGACTTCAGTTGTAAACAAAGTATCTATGTAACCCTAAAACACTATTTTCTGAATTTTTGTGTTGAAATCTAGTGAGATCCACTTATAATAACTCAGTATTAATGCGAGTAGAGAAATTCACTGCTGGGTAGTAAATTAACATCCTACATATTTGAGAAGGTAATGTCTGAAAATGCAAGCTAATTATATTCAATTGGAAGAGGACCATGATTTCCATGTTTTTTTTTTTCTTACTGCAAACAATCTATATAGTCCCAATAAATTCATAGTAAAATAAGCTTTAAAAAAGCTTTAAAATGTCAAAAAAGGAAAAAAGCCAGTAACTAGAACAAAATAAGTAATGAGATTAATAGCATGTTTGGCTTTAGAGAATTCTTATATACTCAGTTGATTAAAACATCCTATATGATATTGTACATTTTTACCAAAAGTTCCCAAAAGAAATATAAGAATTAAACATTTATGACTGGATTTAGCTGTAGTAAGGAATTAGATGTAAGTGTTTGATTGCTCTTTGTGCCTTCAAAATTCTGTAGAAAATTCTGTCTTCTTTTTAGTTCATCCAGAATGACTGAATTATTGGATGCAAGACTCTGTGTCCTAAAGATATTAAAAATAACAGAATTATTACCTTCAAAAGGGGCCTGGATTTCTAATCAAGGCATTATACCACCTTTCATTTCTTTGAAGCAATATAACATTTACTAACACTAAGATGCATTTATCAAATACGTCGACCTTTAAAAATCTAAAGTGCTCTTTACATTTTAAATGCTTCACAATAGCACAATATAAAGTTCACATTTTCTGAACATCTGTTCTCAGATCCAGTATCAAATATTTTCTAGTTAGAAAAAAAGTCACTGTAAAACTCTTCCACACAACTGAAGTGACCAATATCATCTTGTGTAATTTATTTCTTTTTTGAGAAGTCATACCAACTACAATATTTTTCATATTGACAATGTTCCTTTCCTAAGAGCTGTAAGCTATGTTAGTCCCTTATCGAATACATCTATCTGCCTTGCTTCAGCCAAGTCACATTACTGTTTGGGCATTTTGCTTTTGACATTCCCCCTTTTCCACATTGCTTCTTCTCCATCACATATTCATTACATTAGGATATGTCTCATAAATGTGTCCTCCAATAAGTCTTCCCCCACACAACATAGCCCACCCAGCACTCTTAATTCCACATCTTTTGGCAGTTATAAAGAGTTTATGCTTTGTTCTTGAGTCCAATTTGTCTGTTGGTCTCAACTAAATTGCAAGCTTCCTACAAGTAGCAACATCTTGTTCATTTCTAGCCCCTTAATCTTTATATTAACAATATGGCACATAGTTGATGTTCAAATGCTATCTTCCCTCCCTCTTCCTCTACAAGTCTTTAATCCTTTTCCCATTTGCCCCAAGAATACTTGCTGGTGGCACCTGCAGCATTTATCCCAAGATAACTCGCAGATTACAGTCCTAACCTTATCCCCAAAGTTTGTCATAAAATATCTTCCTTTTATTATTTTTGCATCACTCTAGTATATACTGATAGTCTTTGGAAACAAATGACATCATTCTATTTATAGCATTGTTTTTAGTAGTTTGATTCCTAAAAACGTCAAATCCTAGAAAATGTAGCATTTCTACATGTGATGCCAAATGAACACTGGCAGCGAGCTGCACTTTTTTTCCCCTAAACTGGAATTAATGATATTAGTTACAAGTCAAGAAAATCATAAGCGATTTATAAGAAATCAAATTTCTCAAGATTTTGCTCATTTAAATTCTCAATTGCATGTCAAGAAATAATTTCCCTTATCTGTTTTGGGTTTGTTTTTGTTTTGCTTTTTCCAGAGAGAGAGAAAGGCAACCCCCAGCTTATTGATTTACACCACCATTATTTACTTTGGAGACAACGTGCTTTGATACTTTAAAGACTTAATATGAATCAAACTATTGTTTCAAGCAGAGAAGATCTGTTCCTGAATGAAGAAAGGTATTCTAAAAACAGACTTCTGAGTAGTTAGCCTAAATTATAAATTATCAGAAATGTCTGCAAATATTTATATGTAAAAACAATCACTGGATATTTATTATAGACAAAAATGGGAATAATCTAAATGACAAAGGAAGGAAAATAATGGTTTGATAAATAATAAGGTCCACATAATGGAATACTAAACAACTATTAAAAAGAATGAGTTGGGTCTGTATGTATTGATTGCAGGATATCCATGATATGGTAGGTGAAAAAAGCCACAGCTCTATATGATTTGTTGTCAAAATATATTTATAAATGCACAAAAAAAATGTCTGAAAGACTATATTCCAAATTGTCCACAGTGTCTAGGTCACCTCTATGGAATGAGAGTGGGAAAGGTTGGAGAATGAAAACTTCGTTTTACTTTTTACATTCTTGTATTACTTTTCAAAAAGAGGTACACAATAATTTTATATAATAAAAAAAATCTAATAAATATATATGCTAAATTTTATAGCTGAAAAAAGCAACATGCAAAATAGCAACTACAATATGATTTCAATAGATAAAAATATTTAGATCAGTATGTTCAGCCTAAAGTATTATAAATATACCAAATAAATACAAAAGGATTTTTAAAAATATCTAAATAGGGTGACTATAATACACAGACACACGCGCGCGCACACACACACACACATCTATATAATTTTTTCTTTTTTTTTTTA